TCTAGTCCGTGCTGTGTGTAGCCGCGCGGCACGGGGTTCACACTAGCCGGCTTTTAAAAATGGTGGCGCCGGCTTTATGCTAATGAAGCCCGGGAAATTCAAATCCCGGGCTTCATTAGCAAGTTCGGTATGCATACATTACCCCCCTAGTTTGAACTAGGGGGGTAGTGTAGACATACCCTGAGTGATTTCAGCAGGTGTTGAGTGTAGGCATCACTTTCCAAAACCTTTCAGCAACTATTAGAATCAGCTCTTGGTCTGTTTCTTAATATCTTAATATCATTTGATGCAACTTCCTTATGTTTATGTTGTGGTCTTCTAACATAATCAATCTCTCAAATACTTTGTGCTCCTTGTCAAGTTTTGGCAGGGTTATTCTGAGCTGGGTAATTAAACAGTTGCTGAAATGTATGAAGAGCAAGAGTCTGAAAGGAGCCAAGTCTACTTACATCAGGGGTTTTGGAGGATGATGCTGACAGTAGAGTGAGCCAAAACTGTGGAAATTGTCAGGTTGCAATAACATATGTTTGGAGATTGGATTAAAAACTGGGTATTAAAATATTAGCATTTTTTCTGAGGGCTCGAGCAGTAATTATTTTCCAGATTGAATGAAACTGCAGCAATTCCCATGACATACAACAAACTGCAATCTTAAAAACAAACAAGCAAAAATCCTAAAACTGTGCAGTTGCAAAAATACCATGTTTTCTGTGAATCTGTGTGCTTGTCCTGGTGGAATTGTCTACTGACTCACTGCAGCATTGGTGCTGCTCTTAAAGAATGTAAGGACTTTGGCTCATGAGCATTGGCTTCATATGTATGAATACTTCTGTCTGTTTCCAGCACTGTATGCCTGAATGAATTCTGATAAATATTACTTCATTCCCCATTACTTCATTCCCCATTTTCAATTTGTTGTAGTCATAAGCAAGGCATTTGTAAGGGTCATCTTGTTGCCTGATACAAAGCTTATTAAATCAATGGAAATCATTTCAATAAGATTTGGGTGAGGTGCAGAAGAGATAACTATGTGTCTGACCAACCTATGTTAGTTAATTTGGGGGCTTTTTTAGGTTCCTATTTCCATTCAATATCCATTCACTAAAAACATATCACACTCCAGTGAAATGTGCGTGGAATGGCAGAGTTGTCAACTTCCAGCATTTCTTTTAATAGATGGATTATGAAAGAGCAGGTAAAATGTTCTAAAATCACACCCTGACAGGAGAACATTTCTTGGCTAGCTAATCTAGTGAAGGTGATCGTGACAGCTTTGATCAACAATATCCATTATGGTGCTTTAGACTGGAGGAGACCGGTACCATAGCTACCTTACAACTAATGTGTTCCTGTTGGAATATGTATTGGCCTTGTAGGCGTTTTGTGATTCAAAAAAGCTGTATGTGTCAGTGTAAAGGCTTGTCATTTATTTTTGTCAAAGGTAAACGTTGTAGATTTTTTGAGACGAGCTATTCCCTGATTGGCGACACTTGAATTTTTATAGAAGAAAAACAAAGTTAAAGACCCTTTTTATAAATAAAAAATGCACCCCAAAGAATACTGCCAAACTCATTTGATGAAAACCTACAAAATTGTAAAATATACATTAATATGGAAAAGTCACAGAAAATGTAATAGGGATGAGACCAATAAGGATTCTATAAAAATTAGGTCTGGGCTAGACTTACGACTTATACCAGACTTACCATGTTAATTAGGGATGGCATATTTTCTCACTATAACTAAGCTGCTATAGATTCTAGCAAAGATACAATTATACCAGCACAACTGTTTTTATATTCCATTCCATTATAACTTATGCCAGTTCCTCAAACTGACATCACTTAAACCAATATAAGCTAATTATGCTGGTTTAACTGCATCCTCACTAGAAGGGTTTTCCCAGTTTAGCTTGACCTACAAAACCCAGCTAGAGTAGACCAGTCATTACTCTAGAAACCTGAGAAAATGTAATAAGCACTGATCTCCCTGATATAGACTTTTTGCACCATTTGATAGAATTCTATATCAGAGAACTAATTTTATATAGGATGATTTAAAAAAAAAACCCTCTGGCAAAGTTATCATTTCTATAAATTCTGTAGGACTTTTCCATTGGCTTTGTCTTTCACTGGAAAAACTTGGCTTCTGGCATGTATGCAAATATTTCAAAAATTCTGAAACTCATATCAAAAGTTTATTACTGAGGCATAGTGCATTTTGCACATTTTTATATGAATCTGCTGTATTCTTAAAAATGAGTAGAGCCTCCTAAATGTGCTGTATAAATTCCTGCTATTTTAATGGACTTTGATACAAGTAAGCTCTGTTTCCCTTGTTAGTTGGGATGTAAAAGGCTGACACAGCACTGAGAAGAAACACAATTGTGAAAATGCTGGAATATGAAATATTGTGCAGCATAAGTTATATTGCAAGATAAACAGAAGAAAAGGACTTTGCAATGCAGCAAATAAAGCACTTTTAATGGATGTAATTAAATGGAAAGTAATAAAACAGGCCATGTAAAAGCTTTGATTAAGGTGTAATTAAAATATGAAAGAGTTAATGAAATAAAACTTGGTCCATAAGAGTTACAACTACCAGTGCACGTCAGCATAAGGAAGGCATTTTGTAGATCAATGTATTTTAATTTCATGCTCTCTTAATGTGAAGGAAATGTAATGTTGTAATGCACCAATAAAACTGCACATAAATGTGGGTTTTTGTACATCTACATGTTATCTTTTTTTGGTAAGGAGAAAGTTCACCAATTTGGTTGCATTAGTAAACCATAACAAGTGTTGCAAATCACCAGTGCTACATTAACTACGTCTACCAAAGGTATCCTGAAATAGCTACCCCATGTTTAGACAAGCTGCCCATTATTCCAAAATATTTTTTGAAATAATGGACGTGCTATTTTGGCATCCTGGTAACCCTCATTCCACGAGGGTTAAGGGATGTCCTGAAATAGCATGTTGTTTCAAAATTTGGTGCTGTGTAGACAGGCTATTTTGAAATTTGGCATATTTTGAAATTCAATCAAAATAAGATATGCAATTTGCATAACGCAAATTGTGTAACTTATATCGAGTTTAGAGTGATATGTAGATGCACCCTTGGAAGCAAAAAGAAGTTCCAAGAGTTAGCTGCAGTTGTTGCAAGAGGGATCTGTCCCAGTATTTGCTTAGTAAACATTATTCAGTTTCCATCTTTGAAAACCATGCAGTTCAAACATTAGAATTTGAAGTTCATCCCAGAACATCTAACCAGCTGATTTACAACAAGGCTCTTTGTGACGTTCAGAAAATTACATACTTCATGAAACATCTAATCAGTGTAAGAGGAGTGTGAAGCTGTTATGGAAAACAATGGGGCAATCCTGAAATCAAGAGCAGCTAGAGACCAGCTGAGAGTCAGTTAAATTTGGGAAATGTCTGCTGGGGTGGATGCAAGTTTCAGACTAGAAATACATCTAGGATGTTAAAAGCCATCTTTTTCAGTTTCTTGACTGTAGATTGGGGTAGGTCCAGGATCTCTATTTTTTCCAATGCAGTACAATAAGTCAAGGGTTTCTAGCATAGTGAGAATGTTTGTAATTTGCTAGGAGGTAGAAAATACTGTCCTAAAGATTCAAGATAGAAATTAGAGGCCTGGTTCTGGTTTGACACCACTATAACTCCACTGACTCAGATTTATACTGATATCAGCAAGACCAGAGTCAAGCTCCAAATCCAACTTCTTTTATTTTACAGATGGTTTTGTGAATAAGAGTGAATCTAATTAGATTTGGCTGCAGTTCTGGGTTCTTGGGACTACTTAGTGTTGGTCTAAAAACTGCTCTGATGAGATGGAGGAATAGTCATTGAACAGAGCACAAACAAGAACAAAGGAGTGGTAAGGTCACCTTTGCTCTGCACAGATTAGACCAAAAATTTGATGAACATTTATTACACAGTACAGGAAACAATTAATACATGATTTACAGTGTCTTATTCCATAATTATACATAATTATAGTAGTTGGTGTCTACAAATATGACACAGTCCATGAATCAAACATTTACCCTACTATACTCATTCATACCAATTCCTAAAGAAAGAGCCAAATTCTGCTGTTAATTAATACAATGTAAATACTGAGTAACTCTATTGGGTTATTCCAGAATTAAACCATTCTAATAGAGCCCTGGGACTTCAAGTACCATGGAACAAAGTTATGATAGTAATTTTGTGAATGAAGGCCATGGCCCTGCTGAGTAATGTATAAGAACTGAGAGCAGAAACAGGAAAAGTAGGCATTCAGGAAAGGCATATCTTCCAGAAACCCCCAGTATTCAGGGGGATCATGCCTCCTGCTATCTCTCTGAGGGGATGGATGCATCCAGCCAATCGCTTTTTTGGGGGAGGGAGGGCTAGACCCTACAGGAAAATGGAGAAGCTGCAGTTGTGCCTGACCACACCTAGGCTGTGTCTAGATTGGCATGATTTTCCGGAAATGCTTTTAATGGAAAAGTTTTCTGTTAAAAGCATTTTTGGAATAGAGCGTCTAGATTGGCACGGACGCTTTTCCGCAAAAGCACTTTTTGCAGAAAAGAGTCCATGCCAATATAGATGCGCTTTTCCACAAAAAAGCCCCGATGGCCATTTTCACGATCGGGGCTTTTTTGCAGAAAACAAATCTCAGCTGTCTACACTGGCCCTTTTGCGCAAAAGCTGTGCGCAAAAGGACTTTTGCCTGAACGGGAGCAGAATAGTATTTC